AAAGGGAGAGCGTGAAGGCGCTTGAGATTCCGTTTTCCAATTATTGACAGTGAATTGATGATCGCTACATTTGTATTGTGCACATTCTTTCATGCGGTCATCTTTCAGAAGCCAGTCTATATTTTGAGAATTTAATTAATTGGGAATTTTGTTCTCACTCAATAATCGATTTCCCTTTATTCTCGTGTGAAAATAATAATGCCTTAGTCGGAACCCGAACAAGGCAACTGGCCTATTGATAAGTCAATAATTCACTAATAGGGTCTTCAGAGCAGTCTTGGGTAATGTGGTATGATTATTCTAGCTGTCTAATAAACATATTCACGTTGTGTGAATTATATTTGTGAGTTGGGGTTGGAGTAAACAATATACTTTTTGAGGTGGCACACGAATCGCTGCATTGTTTATCACATATCAAGTGTAGTATCGTTGTGGTACTGTGTTCTCACTTGTTACACCTTCCTTGTTGATTGCCCTTTCATCCATCTCAGTAATTCATGTTATACGTATTTTTCATGTCGTACCACTATTGGCATCTCAAGAACGGTGAATGATACGAAGTTGTTGAATTAGACGAAAGTCGCATATTTTAGAAAACAAAGAATATATATTGAAGTACCCAGTTAGGCAATGCGTCATTTTGTGTGACAATGGGAACAGAGTTACACAAAAAGCGTTTCCTAATGTGTTGCGTATAATATATTCACTAACTTTGATGACAAATTTTGCTGGAACAGAGGTAATGACCAGTTCAACATGAGTTCTATCGATTATGTACAAGATTTAGTGAGCAATTAAGAAGAAATATTCTCAGATAAATGATGAACATGAAAAAATATAGGAATACATTGAGAATTCGCATTCTCTATGTGATGAAAATATCAATTTTATTCACTGTTTATTCAACAGAAAACAACTACTTTCCTGGCTGTATGCCACGACGAACATTGATTTATATATTGATTGAACACACACGATAAGAATTTGAAAACAAAATCTTCTGAAGTTGAGAATTTGTAATTTTCTTCAGATAACAATATGTATGCATTTAATATCATTCTGAACATTCAACAGAAAACAACTACTTTCCTGGCTATTTGCCACGTCGAACATTGAATTATATCTGTTAAACATCCAAAAGGAGAGCAATGAAAAATTAAAATCCTCTGGAATGGATAATTTATATTCTCTCTCAAATCGGATAAATAATATGATGTACATAAAAATATAATATAATACGCAAGTTGACTTCAGCCGTCACTTTGAAGTATCCGCCAAACAATAATATGGTTGCAAATCAGCGACAGTACTCACGAAATTGACTCGTTTGTTATTGTCATTAGTTTAAAATGACTGATGCAAGTTGAGATTTTCCAAGTGATATCGAGAAAGCAGCACAAAATGCACTATTCTCTTCGTCTATCCATATTTCATTTTCATAAATGGTATTGAAATGAACATTTCGTCACCATCAGTCATCTAATATTCGTTTCAAATCTTCCGTCAGTTTTGAAAAGTGTCAAATTGAATGTCAAATCAATTGGAAAAACGATATTTTCGAACCGGAGATATCACGATCCGTATTCAAAATATACGGGCAAAGCCAACATGGTTGGTTATCTTTGCGTTACATATTGAAATATGGAAATGTGTTCAAGAAACTCTCTCTTCTCATTCATATTAATCATTCCAGAATTACGTAATTTGACAGGTTGCTGAGGGGCAAACATTGTTTCTTGTCAAGATTTGTCATATAAAACCAGAATTAGTGGGATCGTTCTCCTTGGAATCCGAGTTGGAACCAGAAAGAATGTCCTAATTTCGTTTGGTGAAACTGTTATTATATTTCGGATGTGGATGGAATTTCCAGAGCTATGCTCATCAAAGGTTACCTAACAGACAGTTTGTGTGCCCCTCAAGAAACCATGTCAAAATCACGTGTTCTAGAATGGTCAATAAACTTTTGCGATTAATCTAGAGTGTATATAGATAATTGTCATAGTCAGTGAACCTACATTAGATTTTCACAAAAATTGAGCTGTGAACAGTGAACATTCGATATGAGTGAGTACCTATACTAATAATAATTTGTACTACCACAGTACTTGACCATATTCACGTCATGCTTGTTTCGTAGTCACTGACCTATACGTGGAAATCAATTTCTTGAACTTCGGAGTGTAAGTGTCGAAAGATATGTCGCATATTTTTATTGTTTCCTTTATAGACACTATTCATGTTGATATCAGTGATATCGGAATAACGTTTTTATTACATCAGGGAAATATAATATCTTGAGTGATATAGCGGAGAATATAGTGAAATATCAAAATTCCATCTTTCTCAAGCAAGTAATCATGAAATCAATTTATTTCACATGATCATAAAACATGCAAGATACTTTGCTTTGTCATCCATTAATTCTCATGAATACATCATTTTCACCTGTTATTCCTTATATATGTATAGTTTTTCCGTTTCAAAGAAAGAAGTTATGTTTTCTCGCATGATAGTGCATTTATTTTCAATCTACTCCTGCATATATCTCAGACCCAGTTCATTCTCAACAATATTATTCTGAAGACAATCAACTATCACTTATACAAAGTGCAGAAATTAATTTGTTATCATCCTCTTTGACTCTGCCAATATTGTGTTATCTTGTCCCGCCTATATTGTCACGAATGCGCTCGTACGTTCGAAATAGACTACAATGAGTTTAGATACGAGTTCGTTTTAAACAATGAAGTACATGTAATAATAATTGTATTTATATCTCTGGCAACCAGAATCGCGAAGTTTCAATTTTCTTGTCATGTGATGCTGGAGTTGGGTGAACAATGTAACGTACGATGCAGCTCGCTCCTTTGTTTCAGTTTTGCACCAACGACAAAGGTGCCTTTTTGCTGATGACTTGAAAGAGAGTGTTATCATCTCAGCTGATGGCTTAATGTCAAAATATATAAAATGGCATCAAATAACTTACATCTAGGTGTACAGACTTCTTCATAAATCATGTCGCTATAGAACAAACAATTGAGCTTGTTGGTTGCAGAGTAGAGGCCATAAATCATCAAAATTATTACTACAATTATTATTAGTTTCCGACATAGATATACTTGTGCTTGAATGAATATGCTGCAATAATATTCGTATTATAACTTAATAAAATGGCATGACACTCATATAATATATTATATCTGTTCACTGATACCATAGATCTAAATACACACCTGATGCGCTCACAAGACCTTTTCTTGTCTCCCAATGAAAATTAGATAAGTAATTTCCACAAATAACATTATCGAAATAGAAAACAAGATTCATATTTTTGTCGGCAAAAAATAACCGTGACTTGCTTACTGGGTACGCTTCTGTAAATTCTGAATCTCATCTAATTTCAGTCTATCGGAAGTCTATAGTATAAATGTCCAAGGGCGTCGTCAGCCAGAAAGCTGGATGAGGGGGGGGGGATGGGCACCATGAAAAAACTAAAGAGGAAAATCAAAAGAAAAGTTACGCAAAAAATCTATATAGAAAATCAATTGAGGAATAATCTAGGTTCTTTTGCGAATTCGTTGGTAACTTTGTTGATATGAAATCGTTCAAGTTTTTGAAAATATGTTGCCTGTGTATATACACTCATCATTGCGAGGCCTTTGAGTCGAGCTTCAAACATGGTGCTCTTCACCCAGGTTTATATTCTCCTAGGCCACTAAATTGAATACCTTTCAACTGTACAATAAGTCTTTCAAGGTAAAGCAACAAGAATCTTCAAAGCCTTCTTAATTTCAGGAAGTTCTTGGCTCAAAGTTAGCGTTAAATCACGATGTTCTGAGTATTCGAGATAAGACATAATTATAAGAAGTAATTCAGAACAGAGTGGTATTTTGTAAGACTATATATTTCACGTTTATGTAACATAAAAAGAATTTATTATAAATGAGTGATTCGTTCTAACAAATACAGCCATAATTATTGTATACCAAACTGAAAGACTTTGCTTCGGTATCCATGGTTACATCGTTGAAAACATCAACGCTGATAGACCCATCAGAATTGGAAGACAGCTTATGTTTTCGCAATAAGCACACGTTGTCTCTGGCTTGTGATAGGTCAGATTATGTGATGACTGATGAATGAAATATTCGTTGCAATTTCAATTAGTAGTGTGACTGGTGAGCGTTAACCTCTAGGGGGGGAGGCAGCTGCCCCACCCTGCCCCTCTCTGGCGACGCCCTTGTGGATGTCCGAGGATTGTTTGATTCCATCAAAATCCTCTGAAACTTTTTCAAGATAATAATGAAAAACTCAGTTTTTCAAAACCTATCATCCTGTGATTTGAAAACAAAGCATTTTCGGACCCAGGTTCATGTAAACTTTTTTTATACTGAGCTGAGGGAATATTCTCTAGGATTTTGTCACTACTCAATTCTTGAACATCCTGTATGCTGTTCTTATGCGGTTATTGTGCACATAAAACAGACTTCAAACAATTCTCGTGAAAACACCGTCAGGGCCGCAAGGGAATCAACTTTATCGGTAATTCTCTTCGTCATGCAACTTTTATATGCGATTTTTAGTGAAATGGTTAATTTTGATGACTACAACATCCTAGTGAAACAGTAGCCTTACCCCTGAAATAATGTTTTCTTTTTGTAACAATGTATCGTTTTATTGTTATTTGTTACAAAAGTTTCACATCATTAAGGGGTTCACAGCCAACTCTATAAGTCTATTAGCAAACTAGAGATATATGCATTCGTCTGTGACACAGCTCAAAATTACTATGAGAACACCAAGAAGCACACATGCCTCGACTGCTGAGAACCGAAACAAAAACCACCTTTCAATCATTGACAAATTAATACCACCAGGACTGGTTGGTCCATCCATCTCTCGACACGTCTGCCATGCTGGCACTTCTCTCTCGTAGGAATGAAACGGCACCGGAAAGATTGTTCTTCAAACCGAGCGATAAATCACGGAGTGTCATGGAGCTACACCTCTGGTCGGTAGTCGCAGAACGACCTCCGGACCATTAACCACTTTATTTTATTATCAGTTTCATCTGCCAGATTCTGATGGTCGGACGTGATTCTGGTCTCTGGGACAGTGGGACACTTCTTAATGCTAGGGGGTTTAGGGATATAGCGCCAGAATTTGTTCCTAATAATACATTATACATCAAGGGACAGAAATGCAAGATTTTTTACAAGGTGCGATTTGTAGCTCGAGGGCGAAGCCCTAGGGATAAAACACAAAAATTAAGAAAGAATAGAACAAATTTAGAGGTTAAAGTGTTTTGTCTTAATTAGAGTTCATACAAATATACTTCTCCTATACATTTCAATTTTCATTTCAATACTGAACATATTGGTAAGTTATATTTTTATATCATAGTACATCATATTATTCTATTCGATTTGAGAGATAATGTCAATCCTCAATTTCAGAGGATTTTGATTTTTCATGCTCTCTTTTTGGATATTCAACATATATAATTCAATGTTCAACGTGACCAAAGATACGTGACAAATAACCAGGAAAGTAGTTGTTTTCTGTTGCATATTCAGAATGGAAAGTAGTTGTTTTCTGTTGAATATTCAGAATGATATTTATGCATATCTTTATATGAAGGAGAATGCAAATTCTCTACTTCAGAAGATTTTGTTTTCGAGTTCTTATCGTGTGTTCAATAGATGTAATTCAATATTCGTCGTGGCGTGGGGAGAATGGTGGGAGCGAGTTGTAAGGATGGTGAAAGAGTTTAGGAAAGTCAATTGTCAGTTACGAAGAACTATCGACTGTACTATGCGACTGCGAGGCAACAATCAATTCAAGACCGTTAACCTATATTTCAGATGATGACGATATGATACCTTTGACCCCATTATATTTCATACAAAGCATTCCCAGTAATGAAGTACCTGATTTGGACTTGATTGAAAGAAACCATCTGCTGAAGAGACACAGATATTTACAAAGAATCAGAGACAATTTTAGAGTTCGTTTCAGGAAGGAGTACCTAGCAAACCTGGTCTTGAGCTGGTTCAAAGCCTTCACATAATTTTCTCCAGATGGTGGAAAGCTTTCAACTAAACTCCTTGCCTGTGACCCTTCTTCCATTGCTTGAAGCATGTACTGGAAATTATCTTCATAATCTATGGTCTCGCCTTCATCGATCTTTTTGAATTGGCCCCAGAATCCGATCCAGTTACGTACATCACCATTGAATTTCTTCAGTTCTATTCTTTGGAGTCGAAAATTTCTTTTTGTACTTGACTCTCCACTGACACTCATGAAATCGGTTGACTTTGAATGGTTATTGAGTGTATAATATCCCTTTGCCTTGAATCTGATCAGTTTATTTCTATATAATTCAACAGATTCCCATTCATCTTCGAATTCTTCATCGCTTATCTTTTTCTTCATGAGTTCTTCGGCGATATTTTCATCCAAAATTGATATTGTTTCAGCTTTGTCTTCTAGTTGGTCAAGCAGTACGGCAATCTCTTCTTTCTGGATCGATTTTCCACTTGAAACTATTTCCAAATTTGTAATAATCTTCCGAAACACCTGTCCCAAGAAAGCTCGTTCTTTGTTCAGTATCTCGAAATCACACATTCTGCAGTCCTGTCACGGTCGCCAAATAATGTAGCAAATGAATGTAGATACGAGAAGAGTGTAATTAGGTGTTTTGTAGCTTTTATAGATTTTATTACTCAAAACTTGATTGACAATAATCAAAAATTCAAAATCAGAATTCAATTGTATCAATAAAAAAATACTCATGACAACGACAGAATATACAAAGTTATCAGTTCCAGATCCAACAGCCAGGAAAGTAGTTGTTTTCTGTTGAATAAACCGAGAAAGAATTAATAATTCCATCACATGGAGAATGCGCATTCTCAATGTATTTCTTTATATTTGCGATGCAGTACTTCCATTTATTGCTCATTCATTGTTGGTCCAGTGATGACTGACTGTCGTTTTTTTAGGCATTCTCAATCACGGGAAAAAAGGAATCGTTGAATCGAGCAAAATTTAATTGAATGAAGCAAATATAAGTGTCATATATGCACGACAAAATATAATCTTGAAATGAGTAAATCTAAGTATATCTTGTTTCAGAGTGAATTTTAAGTTTGAATTAAGTAAATCAACTCTGGATCTTATTTATTCAAGCACATCTATGAATTGTTCATGAAGAGATATTCAATTGGCTCAAACAATCGAAAAAAATGAATCAAAATGACAAGATATTGATTCATTCAAATATTCAGTTGATTCAATCATATATTCAGTTGATTTATTCAAATATTTGGTTGTTTCAATAAAATATTTAGTTAATTCAATGAAATGTTCGGTTGATTCGACAAACTGTTTTGCTGAACCAAATTCAGTAAGGATTCGGAAAATATTCTGAAATTTCACATCAATGGAACTAAACTAGGAAACTAGTCGACTTCTAGCATATAGACTTCCAGTCATTTTATGGTGGGAACCAACAAAAGGCATCCAAAATGGTAATAAGGAAATAATTTCCCGGGGGTTTGTTGGGTTTCCCCATAATTAATTTTCCACAATTAAAACCCTTCATTATTTTTTCTAATGTAAAACCTGTTGACATAACCTTCTTATCCCCATGACAATTATTTAATTTCTGATGTGAGGCTGATGATGGACATATATATGCCCGAAGCATATACCAATTTTTGATGTGTTAATCACATTGAATGTCCTGGAGATGACTTTGTGTATCATTTATTAATACTACTAGTTTGTCCCTGTAACAGGAATTTTATTTTGTTTTCTGTCTATCTATTTGCTAGTTCACAACTTGTTTTTGTTTTTTGTTATTTCTCGTTTTGTTTTGTTGAGGTCCTGTAATTTTGTATGGATGTTTCTCGATATGCATTTTGAAAAATATGAACACTGGTGTACCCACACCCTGTGTATGCCGCGACTATTCAAAAAGTACCTATTCAAGAAGTTCTTGTTCTTCCCACCGTTGAATTTCGCCATTACAATATCATGTAACTTCCGACCACCGGCCAAGAACGAACAATTATTGTATAAGCATCCCACACTCAGACGTGCTTAAAGTGTAAAAATAAAGGAAATGAGTAAGCAACTATGACTGAACTAATCGGCTGGTAGGTTTGTAGAATCATATTACATACAGCAAACTACACTTACTTTGTTGCAACTGAGCACGTTTATGTAAAAGGCATGATTTTTCTCTGGTTTATAAGCCATTATGATAAGTAATATCAGAATAGCCATGTTCAGATTTTCGATAATTCGCGAAAATTGTAAAAGAATTATCATCCTTTTTATAATGATGACAACATAAAAGACGAGCACATAATGTAATCGATCATTTAGTGTAAGTAGGTTCTTATATTATATGGAAATCATTACCTATTCAAGAATACATTATCCAGTAATGAAGTAGTTATTTGAATTCTATACTAGACAGTGCTTTTCTTTAATGTTCCCCTCCATTTTAATTTTAAAACTTCGGAACTTGAAATGATGAGATTGGTGCATGAATACTATATTTTGAAGTAAGATTGGCAGATGAAAATTTCAAGATGGCGACTGGCCGCCATCTGAGGAAAAAAATTAGATTGAAGGAAGGTCTTATGACATAATTATATTCTTGAAGCCCTTGTCGAATACTTCAAAGCCCTAGAATATATAGTCAATATCTTCACTACTTCAAACTACACTTACTTTGTTGCAACTGAGCAGGTTTATGTAAAAGGTATGATTTTTCTCTGGTTTATAAGCCATTATGATAAGTAATATCAGAATAGTCATATTAAGATGTTCGATAATTCGTGAAAATTGTGAAAGAATTATCTCCATTATAATGATGACGACATAATCATTAGGGAAAAAGACGAGCTCATAATGATATCGAATATTTAGTGTAAGTAGGTTCTCATATTATACGGAAATCATTACCTATTCAAGAATACATCATCCAGTAATGAAGTAGGTACCTATTTGAATGCTATACAGTGATTTTCTGTCCCCCTCACTTTTAATTTTTCAACTTCGGAACTTGAAATGATGAAATTGGTGCATGAATACTATATATTTTGAAGACAGATGAAAATTTCAAGATGGCAACTGGGCGCCATCTGAGGAAAAAAATTAGATTGAGGGGAGTCTTATGACATATATTTTTGAAGCCCTTGTCGAATACTTCAGAACCCTAGAATATAAAGTCAATATCTTCACCTACTACAAAATGGCGGTACATTTAATAGTTGCCTGAATACAAACACATCATTATGGACATTGTATTCCAAGATGGAGCACTACCACCAGACAAGTTTGAAACATATGGATAATACTTTTTCCGGCAGTTGGATTGGCCGTCGAGGTCCTACGGAATGGCCAGCTCGCTCGCCAGATTTGACACCTTTAGACGTTTTTTATGGGACTACTTGAAACAAAACGATAAATATATATACGACAGAAAATGGATAGAAATATCGAAAGTATTCGGCGTAAAATATCGGATAGGCTGTTCTTATGTCAAAAAGTTCGAGGCAACCATTTCGAGCATCTTCTGAACTGAACTCAGCTCATTTTCCCAAATGTTTCCAGGCTATTTTTAAATGTTTTTGAAGTAGGTGAAGATATTGACTTCATGACTTCATATTCTAGGGTTACGAAGTATTCGTCAGGTGCTTCAAAAGGATGTATCACAAGACCATCGTTTCTATTTTTTTTTTTCAGATGGCACCCAGTCGCCATCTTGAAATTTTCATGTTTCGATTTCACTCCAAAGTATAGTATTCATACATCCATTTCAATTATCCAAGTATAATTTTTCTCAGTCGACCTGTTCAAATAAATAAAAGGGGGGAGGGCATTAAAGAAAAGCACTGTATAATTAACTTCACTGTGGTTATTTCTCACTTTTTGTTTGAGCTTAACCTTGTCGTCATTATTTCCTTATTTCCAGTCTTTATACAAGTTGATAAATGCAAATTTCATGGAAGATTCAATAATTTTATGAGCATCCCGAATATTTAAACAAATCAAATATCGAATACCTGTTTGTTTCTTAGTAGTCCGTTATTTTTCAATTGTTTTTTTTCATAAAAGTTTTAAATTTAAAATTAGGTGTGAGTAAGTATTTATACTGGAATCAAAGGCTATGTGGAACAATTTATGGACAACCAAGTTCAAAGTTACTCAGTCCAAAAAAAAATTATATTGAGACTTGATTATTCAATTAATATTTTGAGCTTTCTAAATGTGATGTCATCAATGACTTCACATCAAACAGCAGCTGAAATTTAGAACGTATTCTAAAAATATATGATATGTTGGATAAAACAATCAGGCTAGGATGTTTGTTTTCATGTTTTAATCATTGTTCTAAAAACATTTAAAAAAATACTTTCACGCATATTTCTATCTGTGTTTCCAATATATGTGTTGATTTTATTCAATAGAAAGCTGAAACATCCCTCATCCATTTTTAGGTACAGCTTTGGAAACTTCTGACTTCATCAAAAATCATAGGTAGGTCTCCTCTACCAGCAATATTTCTTCTTTGAATCCATTTTTTTTCTCTATATCTCCCCCTTTTTTCAATCACTCTTGGTACTGTTCAAAATACCATATAGGTAATGAATTTTTAGTTTATTTTTTCTTGTGATTTCTTCCATTTTAAAAAACCTACTCAACCAATATTTTTCTTCAAATCGTGTGACAAGAATTCCTTGACATCACATCACGTTACATCAAACGAGTGACATTTTTAAACGTAGTAACACATGTATCGAAATTAGTCATATATTTATTAATACAGAAATGAGGAGAGGAAATTTCAAAAAACCATTGACTCGTGTGTTTCGGAAAATTCAATTCTTGGCCATGGGCACTGATGCACTGTATATCCTCTTGATTTCGTTTCCGAACAGTGATGGAAACTTTCAGGTTCTATTCTGTAATGTAATAATTTCCATGGCTAAGTCTAAAAGCTCGCAGAATGCCGTTTTCTTGTTAGAATAACAGGCTCTGCATACATTAGTCTAGGGAAATCCCACATACCATCAGAGGTGACAAGAAAGATTAGAGGGTATTTTGCTGATGAATAGGGAATAGACGACGCCTAATACACATTGTGCATTCTGCTAGAATGAGGGCGCAGTTATAATAGAATTATTAAGGGATGTGCTACATAATTTCAAATTGATGAATGGCTATGATGCATACATAAATGATGAAAAATATAGACGACGTAGATGCTGAATTGTCATACAGGGTGTTTCACAGGTAAAGGGAAATATTTCAATGGTAGATAGGGGTCACCAAGGTGGTTTTGAAAATACCATATTTGATGGGTCTTAGAGTCTTCATAACGGAGAAACAGGGCGATTTATCGATTTCGAATAATTATTCATTCGTCTCGTTTTGGAGAATGACCCATATGTATTGATCTACCCAGTATACTTCTCTCAAATTTGGTAAGGAGCTTATACTTGGGGCGTTCAATTCATTCACCTATCGAGCGGAGTGAAAATCCAGGTTCGGCTTCAGGAAAAATTTACATTTATTCGAAATATTAAAATAACCCACTGTATTTGATA